ATGTTTTTAAATTGCTTGTGTTTTCTCTAGAGCGTTCTTGTCAGACAGATAGATAGATAGATAGATAGATAGATAGATAGACAGACAGCGAAACTATTATTATAGATAATATCTCGGATAAATTTAGTTAAAGCAATAGAAAAATACTGTTCATGAGAGTAAAACTCCCTCCGAAAGATGAATAACCAAAAATCAGAAGGAAAAAAAAACTAGTTTTTTTTTAAAAATTAAATTCAGACTTATAGCTTTTGAAACAGGTAAAACTCTAAGAATATTGTTTTTGCAACTAACAGTAAAGAGGTGTATGCAGAGTTTCTTCCAGGCATCTCTTCGGGGGGGCGAAGCCCCCCCGAAAATTTTTTACCGCCCCCCCCCCCGAACGAAATGAAATTTATATAATTTATATAGAAAATATATACTTTTAACAGTGTCCGCCCCCCCGAAGAAAGTTTACCGCCCCCCCGAAGATTTCAAGTGCCCCCCCCGGAGAAAAAAGTCTGGAAGAAACACTGGGTGTATGGGGTCGTCCATAAATGACGTCACACACGTAGGGGGGGGGGGGGGGTGTCCTTAATTTTGTGACCGTGTGTGATGAGGTGGAGGGGGGGGGGTTAGATGGTGTGACGTCACTTTTTGCACTTTAAAAAGCAATGTTAGAAAGCGAGTTTCAGCCGTTAATTCGCGTTTTAGAAAACTGTTTTAATAAATTGTAATAGGAATTGATAAAAATACTCAATGTTGACAGAGTTCTGACAAGATTTTGGAAAAATATCGATGTTTTAAGAAAAATTCAACTGCAATTTTGAGGGGGGGGGGGGGTTGTAGGCTGGAGGTGTGACATCATTTTAGGGGGGGGGGGGTCTGGCTTTTTGTGACGACGTGTGACGGAGGGTAGGGGGGACGTAAAAATCGCCAAAAAAGCGTGACGTCATTTATGGATGACCCATATGAGTAAAACAGATCTAACCCATACCTTATTATGTTAAAAATACAATTTAAAGAACATAAAAAGCAGTGGCTAATTAAAAAATGTAATGATTTGTAAGGCAAGAACAATAATTTTCAATAATTTAGTGGAAACAAATAATTTTTGCTATTATTCACATTTTTAGCGCAATTTCCATTCTGGAGAATTGCGTTTATTAACTCGTCTTTTCTGGGAATGGATGGATGGATGTGTGTCCGCAGCTTTAAGTCGTATCTCCTCCTCAACGAAGCAATATCGAGGACTAGTTCCAAAAGCAAATATGTTAAGCAAGTTACCAGGATGAACATAGGCCAAAAACCGGGTTTCTTTCATGGATTTCCCGGAAAAGCCAAAAAACCTCGAAAAATGCAGTTTTTGGCCCATATCTCGGCAACCAGACCACTTAGCGACTTGAAACATGTACCAATCGATTCCTGCCATAATTTAGAACAATATTGCCGAAGAAAGTTTTCAAAAATATCCTTTCGTTCGGTCACAAAATTTTTTTTGAATTAATTAAAATTTGGACCGAATTAGTAGGCATTTTTATTCAACCACACCACACGCGTCATCACGTTCAATAGCTGCGCCATCACGTTCAATGGCTGCGACATCACGTTCGGTAGCTAGGCGCGCAATGGTTTTTAGTCATGTAGCTCTATTGTAAATAAAACATGTATTTTAACTAATTTAACCAATGGTTTTACCAACCCTGCTCTTGATTTACGCTACGACAGAGCTATTTTTAGATAACATAAGGAAATTGCGCTAAAATTGTCACTAGACTTTTTAATTACCTTGTTTTCGCCTCAGACATGTAATTTACAGCGTCAGTTGTGTGTTCGCTTTAGTATTACATTTTTCATCATCGGCTTGTGAGGACTGATACAGATTGACAATAGTAATTCTTCTTTCCTACATGTAGCCTACTTTCATTAATTTAAGATGGTTTTCTTATACATAGATCTAATACTAAACGCCTAATTACAATTTTTTAACACGTTTTTATTAACTCAGCTTCGCGTGTGTTTGTTGTTAAAATTGACATCGAAAATTAACCCACTTCTGATTGCTCAATAGATCTGAAATTTGGCATGTAGGCTACTTTCGCCTAACAATTTCAGATGCAATCATAAAAACTAGCAATTAGAGACGGTAATTAGCTTAATTTAATTACGCCCCAAGGACCATAAAATTGAGGACATGATTTCTAAAGATACCGACAAGACTGGAGGCTTATAGACACAGTTACTTCGGCCCCAATCGATGTGAGCGCGCTGGCCGTGATCGTATAGTGGTTAGTACTTCGCGTTGTGGCCGCGACAACCCAGGTTCGAATCCTGGTCGCTCAAGATTTTTTTAGTCCGTGTATTTATAAACACTTAGTCAATTCATACTTAATCAAGTCATTAGATAAAGTAGAAAATAAACTATATAAAAAACTTTTTTAAAAACCACGTTTTTCATGTGTAGCAACGGACTAAAAAGGAGAAAATAAAATACTTAAAAAAAACTTTTTAAAAAACCACGTTTTTCTTGTGGACTAAAAAGTAGAAAATAACTATTTACATACATTTGATGACAAAAAACGTGGGTCGGGCAGATGGGTCGGGAAATTTGATGGTGAACGTACCCACGTTTTTTGTCATCAAATGTATGTAAATAGTTATTTTCTACTTTTTAGTCCACAAGAAAAACGTGGTTTTTTAAAAAGTTTTTTTTATTTTAAACCTGAAAATGCAAATGTGTAATTAAATGGTGATTCAAGGAATTTTTTTTCTTCGGCGTGGTGGGCTAAGGGGATTTGGGATTTTAAGTAGAGCTGAAATAAATTGGGGATTAAAGAAAAATAAAATTATAAAAATTTTAAGCAACCGGAATGTTATGTTGTGTACAATGAGACTCATCAAATCAAACATTCTTCCCTTTCAAACATCTATATCTATAGCAGTCCTCCCACATTTTTTAAAAACATTTAAAATAGTAATAATAATTTATTTGGTAGTTTTACACAGTTTCAAAGACATGAACATCTATTGTATATATAGTAATTAAATGGAGAAAGTAAAATGGCATAAGCACTAGATTAAAATAGGGTGTGCAACTCGATTTCTCTTGACTGCTTAGTTTACTGTGCTCCATCCTCAGCTGCGAAGTCAAAAGTTCACATAGTAGCTACCCATGGCCAGAAACAAAAATAGACCGTGGGAAAAGGGTCTCTGTAATACTCATACTGATCTATCATTTCAAAATTGTCCATGACACAAAATTGACCCCTAGCGATGAGCGTAGGCTGCCCTTGATTTATCCTCAAGTCCAGTTGGGTGGGGGTTGAGAGGTGTATATCTCTTTCTACCATTCAGATTGTGCCCTTTTAAAACCCGAGAAATCTAAGGACTGCTCTTATGGTAATTTACTCGAGGGCTGATCATGTGAGTTTTGGCTCCAGGCTGTCTGAATATTAAATTAATACTATTATTCAAATTTTTTTTTTCGCCCCAGACACGTAATTTATAGCGTCAGTTGTGTGTTCGCGCTTTAGTATTACAGTTTTCATCATCGGCTTGTGAGGACTGATACAGATTTACAATAGTAATATTTCTTTCTTAGTTGTAGCCTGCTTTCATTCATTTAAGATGGTTTACTTATACATAGATCCAATACAAAATGTCTAAATTTTAAAAATTAAAAAAAAAAAAAAAAAAAAAAAAAAAAACCAACCTGAAAATGCAAATGTGTAATTAAATGGTGATTCAATGGATTTTTCCCACGCCGTACTATTATTCAAAATGATCTATAATTACAATAAGAAATTAATCTAGATGTAACATGTAATAATTTGAAAGAAGCGCGTTTGTATATGATTTCCGCGTTTGCCAAATTTTTTCATGCTTTAAAATTTTAGCATTTATGATAATGAAATATTTAAGCATAAGTAGAGACAGTTATTAATAAAACCTGTTGTAGTAAATTATTATACTTAATAAAACGTAATTGATTGATATCGTTGACTTTGAAAATGATAATTATATTTGTAGGTCTATACGTATTATCTATATCAAGAGAGTGATTATTTCCCCTACATTAGTTCGGTTGTCTATTCCATTTGCCATTTTGTCAAATTTTTTTTTTACAAAGATTACGAAACAAGAAGTGTTGCGATTCTTGTTTTTGGTTGTGTTATGTGTATATTTTCTTTTGTGTGTTCAATTGCTATGTGTTTTAGGCTTTCGTTGTACTGTGTATAGTTCTTTTGTTTTCTTTAAAGAGTACTATAACATACAGCTAGTGTGTATATATATATATATATACATATATATATATATACATATATATATATATATATATATATATATATATATATATATATATATATATATATATATATATATATATATCGTAATACGATTATACAATTTATATAGAATATATATACTTTTACCAGTGCCCCCCCCCGAAAATTTATCAAAGACCCTTATAATTCCATTAAATGTTTGTAGTTTGATTTAAGTGGGTGTTTTTTTTTCGGGGAGCTAAATCACAGTGAGTCCTCTACGAGCGCTGACGTAGGCCAATGCATTCTATATCGACATCTATTGTGCGTTTGGTTAGGCTTTTCATATTTTCATTACTGCTCGCATTAATTACTAGATCTACGACCTAATCTAGAAACTGTAACAGGCCCCAACCCACGTATGCCCACATTCATGATCAATTATTTTATCCAGCTTTACCTGGCTTCATTGTTAGCCTCGATTAATGAACTGACACAGCTTGTTTAGCTATCATCTCCCTTCCAATAACTTCTCCCTTGCACGAGAATATTGCTAGACTGCTCGTACTATTGTGGACAGCTGTGCTACACATTAGCAACTTGTTTAGTTGCTTCTTGTTAATTCCTGTATATGAATTTATCTAGATAGTCTATGTTGAACAAATCAAAAGATAGATCTAGATCTAGAATCTACATCACTTCGCGACTGTTTTATGAATTCTCTGCTAGACTAGTCCTTCACATACTAGAACACCTGGTTTGACGTCTGCTGGTATTTCTCTCATCAACACCATTATTGTGACCATAAAAAGAGTACGTTTGGTTTTTGCCGTCGTATACTTAATCTAATATATATATATATATATATATATATATATATATATATATATATATATATATATATATATATATATATATTTTTTTTTTTTTGATTTTTATTTTTATTAATTCAATTGTTTTAAACATTTAAATCAGTAATAATAATATATTTGATAGATTTTCTATCTAATATATATATATAGTTCAATTCTGTATGTTTGTATGTCGTGGATTTCAAAGGAATATAAGAAAAACCGATACTTCCATTGTGTCAAGTGTTAAATGTCTAAAGTGCTCATCGTCTAAATGCAGAGCCGGCTTTAGGGGGTGACAAACGGGGCGGTCGCCACAGGCCCCGCGCTTGAAGGGGCCCCGCGCTTGAAGGGGCCCCGCGCTTCAGCAGCGCCATTGTTGCCTGAATTAGTTTGTAAACTTAAATAATCTTTGCTGAATTAAATTAAAAAAAAACAACCCAACGAAATGGCCGAAATTGTTGGATGTTAAAACTGAGGCCACGGCTGATGTTAGTGAGTTATCCTCTACATGGACTGGGACAGACCGTTATTCTAAAGAAAGACATTAGTGTCACACATCGCTGGCACGGTCGACTCGCTATTGTCCTGAGGTGACTGGAGATGGCGGTTGCGAATTAGCCCCCGACCTGACATGGGAGGTAAAATCGAGAAAAACGTAAAAAGATACCCTATTGTTTGCGGACCGTTGAAGACGTTTTTTTTTTAGTGAGCAGGCGGGGGTGCCTGTAGTAAACAGTCAGTGACCTGATGATGGCTTGCAGAGGAGGAGGGGGAGGGGGGAGGGGAGCGGATGGGGACATGCCCCGGAAATCCAGAGTATTTATCCCTAAAATCACAATTTATACACGGTATGGGCATCTTTTGTGTAATTATAGGCATCCATACAGTAATTATGTTCATATTTATTTTATATATTGTCAGGTCATCTTTAAATACATTATACTTGTATTTATTTTTATATTTTTGAAGGGCATTTATACAGTAATTATGTCCATTTTCATTTTGGTAAACTTTAACGGTATTCGTAAAGTGATTAAGCACATGTTTATTTTAATTAATTGTAGGGACAGTGGCGTAGCGAGGTCGGGTGTCACTCGGTGCGGCACTTAATGGTGTCACCCCCCCCCCCAGAGGCGTAGCGACCCTTCCCAGGAAAAAACTTTCAAACTTTCGATTTGCACCCCCCCTCAAGTTTTCGATTTGCACACCCCCCCCCCCCCCACCTCAAACTTTCGATTTGCACCCCCCCCTCAAGTTTTTCTCTATATATTTTGCTATTTTTTGCCTTGGTGTCGACCCCCTAAATGGTGTCACCCGGTGCGATCCGCACCCCCGCCCCCCCCCCCCCCTCGCTACGCCTCTGTTTAGGGATATTCAGTATAATAGTTAAGGCCATAGTGATTCTTGTTTTAAAATAGTGTAGGCACACTAAACAAATTATAAAGTCTATACTGTTTGATATATCGGGCCGAGACTGTTTTATGGTAAAGTTCTCCTGATTTCTCAAACGTCTAAATTACCGGCAGTCCGAGCATGCCATCGCGAAACTCATAAATAACATGAAGCACATGGTTCACTTTCTATAGACACGGACCTTCTCTTGTGAGAACGCGGTCTTAATCTGTAATGTAATACGCTGACGCTCTATAAACACGCACCTTCTCTTGAATGGCTGCGGTCAGAGATCCAGTAACGTAGTACCCGAACTGATTTTTTTTTAGGGTTTGGCATCCCATAGATTTAAATGTACAGTTATCCTTCACGGGCTTCACCTCACCCCACCAACTGTCACCCCCCCCCCCCCAGTGTTCCACCTTACTGAGCGTCCGTGATTACATTTGAGAGTAATTTCATTTGGATATCTATAGCTGTAAACAGTGTTTTTCACGATTCGAGCTTATTCCGAAATCTATCAATGTTTTGCTATTTTTCCCGGCATCCACACACTTTGAATGCCACTGTTGAGAGTACCAGATGAAAGCACGTTATCGGGTGAAGATGAGTTTAGAACAGAGTATTTCTTATGTATAATGGATCAAGCAATTATTGGCATGAACACTCGATTTGAACAACTACGACAATACGATTCACTCTTTGGGTTTCTCTACAACATAAACACAATGAGAAAATTAAATAATGAGGATTTGTTAAAAAGTTGCATAAATCTTGATATAGCGTTGCGATCGGTGAGCTCAGGTGACTTAAACGGGGCAGATTTGTGTACAGAGCTCACAATGTTTCGAGAAATTTCCCCGAAGGTATTAAGTCAGCCAAACAGTGCCTTCAGTACATTTGGAGTATTCGGGATTCCTTTCCCAATACGGCGATCGCCTACAGAATCTTGCTAACAGTTCCAGTCACAGTTGCAAGCGTCGAAAGAAGTTTCTCCAAACTGAAGTTGATCAAGAACTATTTGAGATCAACGATGTCCCAAGACAGGCTTTGCGGCCTGTCGATTCTGTCAATAGAAAAAGACATAGCCTCCAGTTTGGACAATGATGATATAATCATGGAATTTTCCTCACGAAAGGCAAGAAAAGTAGATCTTCGTTTGTGAACGTACTGGTAAGATTTTCAACATTAATGTAAAAAAATCAGGTTTGAAGCTGACGTTCATCGTCACTTTGATGCTTGTCTCAAACTTATATCTGTTTTATTTTTTACTTTTCAAACAAAAAGCCTTAACAGAAACAAGCAACGTTTCGAAAGCACTTCTAAGTAAACAAATTATTTGTTAATCAGTGTCTTAATGTTAATACGACATTGATAAACAGCTTAAAAATACATATATATCGTTAAAAATATTAATTAGCGTTGAGAAGGAAAAAAAAACGCCGCACTGTACATGTTTTATTTAATTATACACCAATGAAAAAAATTTAAGGCCCCGCGCGGATGGTTGGCCATAGGCCCCGCGTACCCCTAACGCCGGCTCTGTCTAAATGTATGAGTTAAAAAATTAATATTGAAAGTGTTTTAAAACAGTTTTTATTTTCCATAATTAGAATCATAATTTTTAACATGCTGATTAAAAACAATTTTAAAAATAAAATGTATCAACGTTCACAAAATGTGTAATTGTGTTTGGAAATTATTTACATTTAGTCCAATAACGCTCATTACGTCCCTTGATTAGGAAAACACAGTTATTTCCCTTTATAAAAATCATTACAGCGGGGGAAAAAGAATTTACTTTTTATTACTTTGTTTTGGTGTTAGGAAAAAATTAATTACATAATTAGCGGGGATTTATCAAATGCCATGTTGTAGGTATTTTTAATACTGCCTTTTATTTATTCTATACACTGAACATACTGTTTTCTTCTTATTATTTTTTTGTGTTGTGTTTGTGTTGTTTTTGTGTTGTGTTTGGTTTGTGTTGTGTTTGTGCTGTGTTGTGTTTGTGTAGTGTTATGTTTGAGGTTCTTTTTTTTGTGTGTTTTTGTTTTGCTTAGTTGTGGTTAGGGTGGGCAATGCTGGGTATATGATTATTACTAAACACACAGGTAATGGTCCTTAACAGATAAGTTTTTTACTGAGGCCAGAGCAGGGCCTGGTCGGGATAGCTAGTATAATATATATCTAGACTCTAGACTCTCTCTCTCTCTCTCTCTCTCTCTCTCTCTCTCTATATATATATATATATATATATATATATATATATATATATATATATATATATATATATATATATATATATATATACATATATATATATATATATATATATATATATATATATATATATATATATATATATATATATATATATATAGATCTATGTGTGTGTGGGTGTGTGTTTGACACTGTTTATAAATAATAATATTGTTTTATTTTGTAAACTAATATGATAAATTATGAAGTACCATAATGTGACTTCCTCACAAAATGATTATAATAAAATAAAAATAAAAATTAACATTTTATTAGTCATAGTCATATAATATCTATATGATTGTTAATCAAAGTTTTATATTAATTGTTCCAGCTTCATTCCATGAAAATGTCATCTTTTGATTCCTGTATGGCCACCTTAGTCCTGTTGCTCGTTATTGGTGTTGCAAGTAGCTGGGCTATGGAAGACAAGTCTAGTTCAAACACAGAGAGAAGTATTTATCTCACATCTCAGGAACTCAAAGAGTTTAGGAAAACGCCCCATTTATTAGTTGTGTACTACTATGTCAAACGTAAGTTTATGTAATAATACGTCATGTTTGCAACTTTGTTATTGATTTTAATTTTGAATAAGTACACCTGCTAAATGGTTTAATATTTGATTAACTTTGCAAGCTGATACTAACAAATGTTGAAAACAAAATATAAAGCACCAAGTAGTTGACTACACTTGGTGACGTCATCTACGTGACTGACACCATCTGAAAATATAACATGGTCTAAGATAGGGTGGGGGTGGCACCATCTGAGGTGGAGTGACATCATCTATGAGACTGACACCATCTGATAATATAACATGGCCTGAGAGAGGGTGGGGGTGGCACCATCTGAGGTGGAGTGACATCATCTAAGTGACACCATCTCAGGGGATGACACCTAAGGGGGTGGCACCATCTGTGCAGAGGGGTGACACAATCTGATGGGGTGGACTTTTCAAAGAGTTAAACTATTCAAGCTACCACTGACTAAGTTATGGCTGCAAATATTAAGTAATTATCTGTTGAATTTTTTAGGTTGGATGATGTTAAAAGCAATTATATGTGACTTCTTTAATAGTATAACTCATCACATTACAGCTTCAAATGTTTAGCAGTTATACTTTAATCAAATTCCCCTGCATTTACACCACATATTCTGGTACAGAATTTTTTTGCCTTTAAAATTTAATTATTGCAAAGCACAAACCTGTTCCTTTCAAACTTTAATGTCCTTCAGTGTTTTATTTGTTTCAGTTATGAAAGGTGAGGTAGTATTTTTTATTGTCAGATGGTGGAAATTAAGAATGATGATTTTTAAAAATTGGTTGGTGATGGTCTTTTTGAAAGCATCATGAAAATAGTTCACCCTCTCAAACACATGGGCTTATCAAACTCATTTGCATTAGGAGCCATTTTTATAATTGAAAATTATACATGCGCTTTTGCAATTTTAAACGTAGAATTAAGGCTACATTATAACGAAAAACATAATTTCTTAACTTGTTAAAGAAAATAACAAAAATCTCTGTAATTGTTCCCCTTACTTAGATTGTATTTGTACTGTAAAGTACCCTATTTGCCCACAAGAACACTTTTAATTATCCCACTTTTATTGTTGGTTGACTTACACAATTATACCAACTGATTTCATTCCAAGTCATCCTTTAGGAGTCCATCATGTTTTTCTTTTTTAGTTTTTCAATTCAATTTCCTGGTCAAAGTGTCATTGGTAAAATATGGTGGACTCCTTTTAAAGTGCCTCATTACTTACAGTTTGAAGTAGAACCATATTAATTTTCACCCTCTCTCTCTCACCTATTCCCACCATCCCTGCTTCCCTCCATTCCTCCTTCCCTTATTGCCATTATATGTATATGTATTTCTTTTATGTATACATATACATGAATTTACCTTAAATGTATACATATACATAAACATATATTTATATTTATTTAAATATACACATATGTATGTATGTATACAATCTTATAGTTATATATAAAATGAAGACGCCTACCCTAGTCTTTTAGTTAAAGCCTAAGTAGTTAACTGCTCAAGTTCGCTGGATAAGCATGATACAATTGATTATTTAATTACTTACTTTATTTGTGAACTAAATCTAATTATATAGTTTAAACTGTTGATGAGTACATGTTCTTTTCTCCTAATCCATTAAAAAATTAACTTTAATTATTTTAAGAGAACTAAAATGTTAATTCAGTCAGCCCAAATTAAAAGAAGCAATACTTCATTTACCTGTGATACAAATTAATATGATATTAGCATTCACAGAAAATTTTTTGCTTTAATCTTGTACCATTTTTTATTGGGGTAAAATTTGGGGAAAAGCTGCAATAGCACCACAATATAAAAACCAACCAGGTGGATAGACTATAGAAAAATACATTCCTCTCCACTTGGGTTGTTTAAATTAAAAAAAAAAATCCCCAAAAACCCCACATCTATAATTTATATTGATATTTTTCATAGCTATCCCAGGGCTTTTTGAGGAATATATGAAACAATTTGAACAGTCAGCAACATATTTGGAAGCCTACAAAATTAAACTGGGAGTGGTGAGTATATTCATATTGTGTTGAAACCCATAATATAAAAATATGAGATTGTATTGGCGTCAAAGATAAAAACAGATTGAACTTGTTTTCTTAGTTCGACTGTACATCGGATACATCAGGTGAAGCAAAATGCAAGGAGGCAAAAGTAGAAAGAAATGTTTTTGCATATCAGTAAGTTTTTATATCTAAAGAAATGTAAATTCTGTCATAAAATACTATTCTTGCACACAAACTATTTGAAATAATTTAATACAATAATGTTAAAAAACAAATAAATTAAATATGGAGAAAATGTATCAATCTATTATGATAATTATTATTTTAATCAAGTTAAACAGACAGACACATGTTTTTCTTTTAGACTGGGAAAACTCTTGGCAAAAATGGAGTTGGAAACGATGTTTGACGTCAACTCAATTATGTCTAATGCTTTACAGTATGTACAATTATTTATTATAAACTTGTGAAGTTTATGTTGTGTTGTTTTCCTTCTTCTCTAATTTGCAGTGGCATTATGGCACTAGCAGATACACTTTAATTTTTCTAAAATGAGAAATCCATCATATGATGTTCTTATTTCAAGACTTTTGATAAATCCATCACGTTTTTATTGGTGAATGCATCACATGTTTTTATTTAAAGACTTGTATTGGTGAATCCATCACATGATGTTTTTTTTGTAGACTTGTATTGGTGAATCTATCACATGATGTTTTTATTTGAAGACTTGTGTTGGTGAATCCATCACATGATGTTTTTATTTGAAGACTTGTGTTGGTGAATCCATCACATGATGTTTTTATTTAAAGACTTGTGCTGGTGAATCAAGTAAATATTATACAGTCGAGGCTGGAGAGGCAGGCAATGCAGAAGAATCTGATTGGAAAGAAAAATCTATTCTTTGCATATCCACAGGCTGTTGGGACAAAGGGTATTATTTAATTTTTTAAAAAAAAAAGCAGTTCTTAATATCATTATCAACTTCTGTATTACCAGAAAAAAAAATACAAAAATTGTTTTAGAATCAGAATTGAGTTTTTCAAAATTACAACTTGTTATTAAATACCTTTTATGAATTGTAACAGCGATTCAAATACCATTTTAGAGCATCGAATATTTATGGAAGTAGCCTACACCTACCAAGATGACTATAACTTTGCCCTAACTACAGAACTTAAGACCACTGTGGGTCTACAGTAAGTTAATTTTCTTGTTTATTATTAAACTGTGTATGTAAGTATTATATTCTTGTAACTGGCGTGGTGTAAAAACTAGTATTCTATACATTACCTAGGCAATGTAAACAATGATGGAAATGGATTTTATAAGTGTAAAATACATTATATTTCATGCACGCCCTAGTCATCCTATAGAATACCAAATTGACTAAGGGCAGAGTAAGTTAGGGTTAGGTCCTGAGTAATTCTTGTAATTCTTTACAATGCCTAGTCATTTATGTTATACCAAGAAAAACTATAGAACATGCATATATTTCATACCTTGCCTGACAAAACCAGGGATTGTATACATTGCCTAGGCTTTCTATAGAATGCTTGAGTTTCATACATTGCCTAGGTTTTCTATAGAATGTTTGAATTTCATACATTGCCTAGGTTTTCTATAGAATGCTTGAGTTTCATACATTGCCTAGGTATTTTACAGAATGCCTGAATTGCATACATTGCCTAGGTTTTCTATAGAATTCTTGGGTTTCATAACATTGCCTAGGTATTCCATAGTGTGCAAGGGTTGCATACATTGCCTGTAACATATAGACACATTAAACTAACCTAACCTCGAGTTCAACTATCCACAATTCTTCATTATTTTATGGTTTGTATACTCACCTCCTACAATATTGAACACATGATACAACTTGTGACGTGACTTGCCACTCCTCCTCACAGAGATAGTCAGCAGGTGAAGTCCAGCCTTGCCTTGTGGGTTTTTTTCTGCTCTGAAACGACCCCTGAAGAGTTTGCTGAATATGGCGACTGTCTTAACATGCAGTATCAAGGGGAAATAAGCCTTGCTGCTGTAGCCAAATTCATCAAGAACTTGCAGAAACAAGTTTTGGTAAAATCAAATGAACAATTTTAACTAGTTTTGAAATTAAGTGAGCTATTTATTAATTTATTCATTTATTCAATAACAGTAACAATAGTAGGGACTGAGGCCTTTTTTCACATTGGCCGTTTTAAAATAAACAGACAAAACAACAACTTAATAACAGCATTTAATAAACCAGGAGTGATCTCCCCTAAACTTTCTCGAATATTCTTATATAACACTATGGGGGATGGCAACTCAGGATATAGACAATATTTTTAATCCATTTTTAATTACCTAAACTTTTTAAAACAGAATCTCGTAGAAAAAAAAATTGCACCCCAAGTGAACGCCAAACAAAATGTGTATAGGCCTAATAAAGCGGAATATTATTAGTATTAGATAAATTCACATGCGTTTTTTGAGAAATCGTAAATAGCGTAATTTACTACTTCTGGTCAACGGAAATTACTCAAAATTTGATTGTTGGAAGTGAATTAGATCTAGGTCTTTTACTTGTGAAATTTCATTTATCTATCTGAAATATTACTCAAATTATATGCTTTTGAAAAATTGAAAGTAGAAAACGTTCCGCTTCTGGTTACCGGAAATTGCTGAAAAGATGATACAGATCAACAAATTTGATATAATACTTATATATGAAATTTCATCAACCTAGCTCTAAAGGTACTCAAGTTATCGTGTTCACAGACACACACACACAAGATTGCAAAACTATGTTTTTTCGACTCAGGAAGGTGTAAAACGGTCGAGATTTGAAAAAATCTCGATTTTTTTCTTTTGCACGATTACAATATTTTCTGTATAGGGCCTACTTCGTAGATCTATATGAGAAAGTAAAAAAGCAATTGTGTAGTAAAGCTACTCTTCTTTAAAAAAACAAGTTTTGGTAAAATCTAATGAATGATTTTTAACTAGTTTTGAAATTAAATGAGCTACTCTTCTTTAAAAAACAATTATTGGTAGAATTAAATGAGCCCATTCCCACTTCATTCACTAATGTCATCTAATGAAATATAACTTAAATGAGAAAACAAAAATAAATATTATAGTGTTTTAAATATCTAGATTGAGTCTTGCATACAAAGATACCTTATAAATTAATTCTCTTGTTTAAGTACATTTACATTTTTAAATGTATTAATATTTCATGTGAAAATTACTAAGTTAAAAAGTAGGCTAAATTTGCTAAATTTACTTTACAGCATTATGCAACCCCTGAAGAAATCGACAATTTGTTTTACATTTTGGGAGATATACAGACTGTTTATATCTACACCAATAAAGTGCTGGAGGAAAAAATCGCACCCGTTGTTGAATTTTTAAAATTTAATGTTCGTGGTTACGGAAGAGTTGTGGTTGTTGACATGTGGGTTCTCTTAACTGCTATTTATTAAAGAAAGATATTCTTTTTTTTGTAGTTAAATTTGGTTTATTTTAAAATTAAAGAATGTTTTGATCAATTACATAATGTTTGGATATAAAATAGATCAGAGTCTCATTCGTTTATTAGTATCAATGTTTCTGAGTGGTGTTGATACTCTCAATAGGACAATACTAGTTTTGACTTCATAAAAAATCAATTTCTTGCTGACTGAATATTTTTGATAAAACAACATATTTGCTACAGGGATACCAAAGTGTTTCTGGATCATGCAAATAAACAGGGTTTCCATGGGAAACTGCCAGCTATTGCAGTCGCATCACAAGTAAGTTCAGTCTATACCTTACTTGATGTGAAAACTTATCAATAAAAGTCATATATAATATGTATGTATATATTCATTATTCATATATATATATATATATATATATATATATATATATATATATATATATATATATATATATATATATATATATATATATATATATATATATATATATATAGCATCAAACCAGAAAAGAAATATTTTGTATCTGCAATATAATTCACAGAATAGAAATGTGAGATTCATGAATCCTTCAATAGAATGGGAACTATCGAATATAATAGATTTCCTGTTCCCACTGATGTTTCCACAAGAAAATGCAACTGTACGATACTCTCCAGAATATTCATCCAATCCACAGATAGAAGAAGGTTAATTTCTTACTAAATCAAACATCATATAAACTTAATAAATTTAATTAAATAAACTGTTCAAAAGCCATGATTAATTACCACAATGGCTCTACTACACCAATATTTATCCATTTTATATAATTTATGCTACGTAGAATAGGAAGAGCTGGTTGTTAATTTTTACTCTTTCGTTTAAGGGGAGGGGGATGGGTGGTGTCAATGTACCCCCACCCCTTCCTCGAAGACATGCTTTAAAGAAACTGCTTGTTCTCCAAAAATTTAATGTTGTCATCCTTCACTTCTCATCACCAGTGGAGACTGAAGATGATCAAGTAGCAGACGCAGTTTTTAAAATGCAATCTTTTGAGATGGAGCTGGATTTTGTTCCAGCCTTGTTCAAGTCAGATTTTTATAAAACAGTCCAGTCATCTGACTTACTCTTTGTGCTCTTCTATTTGCCATGTAAGACACAGTCATACACTTTTGTTTTATTTGTTTTTAATCATTTAAGACTAATATTAAAAATTGTATAAAAATTAAGATATGGATTCATTTTTTTGTGTGCAAATAACCCACCAGATGAAAAACAATATTATTGAACTTAAATTTCACTTATTGTTTACCATAAATAAACAAAAAACTTGATATAGAATAATTTAGGAAAACAGTAAAGTTACCCTTTCTGATACAGGGCAGATGAAGTAGAGTTCACCTGTTTCTGTCACCTCTGTATATAAATGAGTACTGTAGATGCAGTGTACCTAACCTCCTTTACTTTCCCTGGCTGGACTCAGGGACGTGGTCAAGATCCAAACTACCACCCACAGCTGTCCCATAACTGAGGGCTAATACAAATAAAAGACCTGATGATTTCATCCACAGTTGACCACGTCAGCATGGCATTCTTGCGTGATTATGGGCACGCAGCTCAGGTGCTACACAACAACTTTTCTGATGCCAATCTGTTGGCCAGGGTCAACTGCTATGACGCCACTGACGTATGCGGCCTAGAGAACATAACCACTTACCCTGTTTTGAGGATTTATCAGAAAAATAAGGACTCGCATGATTACAAGTGGTCATTGGACTGGAAGTCTATGGTCAAGGCGGTTAAACTGTAAGCATTTTCTAGACGAATTATCGGGAGAAGAAAATTACCTCCTTGTTGGACTTAACTCCCCAACGCCCCGCCCCAAAAACTGCAGGACATTATGCCTTATTGATTACTTATTGACCCTAAACAAATTGAGTTATGGTTAGTCTAGGGGTGATGGATTGGTTTACAGTTACATTTACAATAACAGCAATGGCATGATTAGGATTTGGGTTGAGGAATAAGGATAGGTTACATTGAGTATAAGGGTTGTATTTAGGGATAGAGAAAGGGGAATGTTTAGGGATGTCTTTAGGCTAGTAAATGGAATAAGCTTACCATAGTTTACTAATATTACTAAGTCAAATTCTTTTAATAAATTCTTATTACAATGTAAAAAGCCTCACTTTTTTTAGTTTGAAATCAAGACATTTTAGTTATAATTACTGTAAATATATATTTGCACTTACTAGTGTATCATATTTAATTACTTTTCTCTATTTAAGTCTTCAGCTGCATGTTCCAGTACTACTAAATACAGAGGAAGACGTTGAGATGTTCATGCAAGGAAAATATCCAAAAGATTTTTCAAAGTTTAGTCACACCTCAGTTTTACTTTTGGCTTCACATAATGATAATGGTTAGTCATTTACTTATTTATAACTTTGTGATATAAAAAGGAAATAGTAACTATTTGATGGTTTTAAAATTATCCATAACTAATTATGAATAGAGTTATGAATATTTGTTAATTTTCTTGGAAAAACTAAGCTGTATAAGCTCCATCATTTCCTTAGTAGAAGCTCCATCATTTCCTTAGCGGCTTAGTTTCATTTGAGTTTGAGGGACCTTTACTTTTACTTTTTTTGTTACTTATCTAAATTTGTTAAGATAGGGTTTCAGTTATTTAAACAAACTGATCAGTAAAAAATAGATGTTCCTTATTTAGAACATAACTAATTTATTTTTAGATAAAAAAGAAATGTTTTTGGCTGCCTCAAAAGACTACTTGACATCAGTTGTGATAGGGATTGTGTCTGAGGAACTGACAGAAAAAATGTAAGTTATCTTATTTTTTAACTTTTAGACTTAACTCTTGAGTCATAACTAAATATTATAAAATTAGGTTTAGAAATAAGCATTTTGGTTATTTAGGTTTTCATCACCTGCCTATGCCCTTAACCTTCAGCTTTAAACTGATGTAAGGTATAATTTAAAAAAAAAAAGAAAGTAAAAATTGTTTTAATCTAGTTTTAATCTGGTTATATTTTAAAAATATCTATACAATTAGAGGGAAAAAATTGGATGCTAGTGTGCCCTCTGTTGTTGCCTACCATCGCAGAGATGAGTACAAACCAACCAGAATCCTGAGAAACTTTTCTACTCAAACTTTAACAGAATTCATCAAATTGTCTCAGTACACCTCCTTAGTAAGTGTAAACTTCATTAGTAGTATCATAAGAATTCATCAAATTGTCTCAGTACACGACCTTAGTAAGTGTAAACTTCATTAGTAATAAATATCATTTGCTTATGATATACAGGCTATGTGTATTAGTACATTAACTTTTAGCATATATAATTATATATGTTGTTTTATTCCTTATAACCTGTCAACTTCTATTCATTGTTGCTTTAAACTGTTAATTTGAGAAGTTCAGATAGTTATTGTTTTGTTTTAATTTCAGCCTGAATTGACTGTGGCAAGTTTTCCAGCATTATTTTCTAAAAAGCTGCCACTAGCTATTCTATTTTTGAATGGCTCAGACTCAACTTCTAAATCTGTCAAAGATATGTTTTACAAGCTGGCTGAGACAGAACAGTTTAATGACGTCATATTTTGTTGGATGAATGCGTGAGTATTGAGAGAAAACAGTTTCCAGCCGTATAAGATTTTAGCTTTTGAAAATGTTTCCATGGCATTGACAAGTTTGATCATCATTCTACTATAATGTGCATTGAATTTTTTAAATATTTAACAACCAGCATAAGCACTGTTCACATTTTTAAAATATGTTTTTGTGTTCACTATTTTTAAAATATGTTTTTGTGTTCACTAGAATAGTAAATAAATAGTACATAAATATCAAGTAATTTGTTGAGTGATATCCTTTAAATACATTTAGATGGTAACATCCATTTTGTTCTTTGCACACTGTGATACTTGCTATCATACTGTGTCCCATGCTAATTAACTAGCTATGTGATAATTTCTGATAATTACTATACCTACTTACAAAAGTAAAAACATAAAATGACAATAGCTAGCAAGCTATTTAACCCTAACATTTCATAAAATAATGAACTTATTTTCTTTAGGCAGTTGAAGACTATTGGTTTGAAAATTCTGTCTGAGTACACCTACACTGCCACGCTACCCATGGTTGTTGTAGTGAACCTAAGAGATGGTGAGGTGTACAACTACCAAGCTGAAGAACTTGTGCAAGCTGACATTGAGGGATGGATGAGTAATGTGTTCTCCCACAAAGTAGCTCCATCAAGTATGTCATACTTTAATAAGGGATAGTGCACAGTAATTTGAAGATGGTGGGGGATGGTTATTTTGTGATAGTGGAGAGTTTTTTAAATACTATCATTTAGAAATAATATTTTCACAAAATTACCTATATTATCAATATGTGAAAATAACAGTGCTCCTAGCAATCTATGCAGTTCTAAGCTGTTTTTGTCTTTTGAAGACCCAGAAAAGTTGTGTTTCAATAAAATATAGACCCAGAAATGTTGTGTTTCAATAAAATATAGTAGCATATAAAATTATACATTAGTATTAATTTTTGTTGTAGTTCTAAAAGCACAATATGGTATTGATTGTCCCATGTTGACTGTTTTGTAGAAATTCTTGAGAAGGGCAAGTGGGTACCAACAAGACGAGCTTATGATTTCCTGGCTATGATTGATAAAGACAGAATGGTGAAAAATGAAAGACTTTGTATTGAAGGAAGAGAAGAAGAAGGCAAGTTTATCTGATTTGTTTACTGTATGCATCATGCTTGGATCGTAGAGCCCATAAGTACTAACTCATGGGTATCAAGTTTGGTTCATAGTCTTGAGCCCAATCAGTTCTAGTAGGTACCTGATTCAAGGCATGAAAGTAAAGAGGGCTAAGCAAAACGCTGACCACACACTCGCAACAAATGCTGAAGTTAAGACTGATTTCTTAAACAGCAGCATTTATTGTCACTGAGAAGAATAAAGTAGTGAATAGACATGATCAGATTCAATGCATTTTCTGCAACTAACAAAAGACAAAAGAATCAATGAAATGTTGTTTGACTAATAACTCAGAATTGTACAGATGTAAAACAATAAACAACTAAATCTGTGTCAATGCTTCATTGAAAAATAGGCAGTTATTTGCTATACAGTTCTTTAGATACCCTGACAGTTATGAACATAACTAATATTTTCTATGCACTTTCAGAAATAGATTGGTATGGCGAAAGGTCTGATATTGATAAAAATCAAGAAGAAAATCATGGTACTTTTTACTAGCAGAAATTCGCTTACAACATTTAGTTTTTTTTTTTTTTTTTGCATTTCTTTACTATAATTAAAATGCTTTCACTTTCCTGATTCAGTCATAGCTAACTCTTAGTTTGAAATTAATGTTATATACATATCTTAGCTATTAAAATTAGTTTAGAGGTACCATTAAAAAATAATATAAGGTATTATTAAATAATTTGAAAGTAATTTAATTAGCATTTTAAAAAAATTTTTGGTATTGATGAAAACAGTAAGTAAGAAATTTAACAAACACTTTAAAATGATTTTTCTTTTTTTGAGTTCAAATTAGAAAATTAATGAACACATGTTAAATTTATCCCGTGCAATAGTAAGAGTGTTACTCATAAAAACCATTTGAGGTAATTCTGGAAATATTATTATTGTTTCAGTATTGGCCTATTTATTTCAACCATTATACTTTTATTAAGGGAAAGGTGCATGATTTAGGTTAAAATTAGATTTTAAGTCCTATATTTATAAATAATATTCTTTTCAGAATAATGCTAGTTATTTCTTCATACAGAAAATTAAAATGTCCTTATTTTTTTCTTACATCCCATTATTATTTATCTAGTAAAGACATTTTAAAGTGGAAAACTCTGTTGTAGATTTATCGGAATTTTTAGTCTGCTTTCCTTACGTGCATTTTTAAAATGCTGGATTTTATAGATTCATGTACATAAAGTTTATTATTATTTAAGCTGGTGATATTTTGAAAATAAAATTTTGTAATTGCATTTAATACCTTGATTATATTATAATTTAATTCCACAGACAATATTTCTGAGCGAACTGCAAAAAATCTGCATTCTCAGAATATTCCAGGCATAGGAGAATTACCTGGAGATGATGAAGAAATTAGGAAAGAACTTTTAGAAATTCGTAAATCTAGGCTGTACCATGTAAGCCCGGAACGGCTGGAGAGATCTGCTAAACTCCATGATGGTGATGCAGCTGTCATCAAGAAAAAAGAATCTCTTGGAGTCCATGGTCAAAGCCATATAGAACTTTAACAGATCCCTTGAACTCTGCTCATTTATTTTGAATAATTATAAGGTTTAAGTTATGTGATCCTGAAGATTTTACTTGGAACTGTGCTTAGTGTTCATTATAATTTAAGTAACTATACAGATTAATTTTCAATTTACTGCTTATATGTTCACTTTTGAAGATTTAGTTGTCTCATTAGTTATATTGTGTACTGCAAGTAGTTTTGTAAGACATTTTTTACTTTGCTTGTCCAGTCCTATTTATTATTTTTTATTGAGAAAACCAAACATTTAAATGTTTCATAAACAATATAACCAGAATAATATTTAATATTATTTTTTTTCATCTATTTATTATTTATTTTGTTTTTTCTGCTGTACTGTAAACTCTTTAAAGGTGAATCTCAATCCACAATAATTTTTTGATTATATCATTTTTGTTGATTCATTTAATATTTACAATTTACACATACTCTTTCATGGTGTGAAATCAACTACATTTTCATTTTTTTCAGCAAAATTTTCATTAGCTTTTTTGTGTTTAAGACTAAATTGAAAGAAATTTATGATACAACAGGCCACAATACCATATGCTTTTATTGTGTATAGAAGTTATTAACAAAAAAAAAACAACAGATCTAAAATTGTCTTCCATGCTTATTCCCTAAGTAAGTCCAACAAGTCTTCAAATATTGTTCTCTCTCTTGAATTTTAATGTCAAACTAAGAAACTATTTATAAAATTGCTATTTTTAAGGCCAAAGAAATTTGTTATTTTAAAACATTTCAAATAATTGTTGAAAATTCATATTTATACCAAAGATTCTTTTTGTGCGTGTGAAAATATACTCAGTTATACTATGAACCAAAATAAAATCCACATTTGCAATTTGGCCTTGTACAACTTTTTAACTTACTTTGCCTTAACTTTGTTCACCTCACCACTTCCATTAAACATGGGTAGTGTGTAGGTGGGATCAATATGGTTAATGGAAATCAATATGGGTAGTGGGATTCAGTCTGAATAATGTGAATCAGAATGTGTAGTGTAATGAGTAAAGTAAGAGAACTCTCATTTGTTTCAACACCCATATTTTCTTTGATTGTATCAGTAACGATTTGTACAGGGAACTTATAAAATTATGTTGAAAGCTGAAAAAATTTGGCGTGTATGGACTTCATCTATTTAATTCTTATGGACATGATTGTAAGTAGAAAGTTAATACTATGATCAAGTCTTACACAGTACTGGTTGACATGCTTGTGGAGAATAATTCATCTCAGTGAAGATAAAGAACATGCACAATATAAAAAAGAAAACAGCTTGTAAACTAGATAGAATTTTGCTAATGGAGGCTACTCTTTTAAGTTTAAGGGGCAGCCATCTCTTTTGGTAGCAAATTAAAAAAAAAAAAACATCATTTTATTTCATCTTTTATTATTCCTCAGAAAAAACCATGGTAGAGAAATATTACAATCTACTATGTAAAATGAAAATGACACACATAAAAGGGAGTACATTATAAGGTCTGGATTGGCTTTGTAAATTTTTTGTACATGATTGTATCTTCTTTGGGACCTGAACGGAAATCTTCAGGTCTTAGTTGGTTGACAAATTTAGTTTCCATCAATGTAGAGTGCATTTCCTCCAGCAGCTTGCCCTCAATTCTCTCTAAGGCAGCTAATGTTATGACAAGTGTCTCATGTTTTAGCATTGAGAACACATTCAGACCTGGGGAATATAACATGTTATGACATGTCTTGCGTTTTAGCATTAACGAATAAAAATACATAGGTAATAGATACTGGCACATTATCTCTTTAAATTCAAGCAACAAAATTATTAATTTTAATTGTAATTTGTAATAATTTTCATCATGAACAAAATAATTTCATAAAAAAAAAAAATTAAAAAAGAAAAATAAGAGCTAAATGTACCAAACGTTATTTAATTTTAAACCGTTTCTGATTAAGACATTCTTAAAATTTAAATATCAGAAAATAATTTTAAAAAAAGAATATAACTCACTGCAGAAAAAAAATATTAAGAAAAGTATTTCATTATTGTCATTATAACAATAACTGTCATAACAATAATTGAAAAAAGCTTACCATAAGCTGGCATCAAACTAAATCCACGGAGCTTATTCACAGCTGCTGTAATATTCCGTGGCATGATATCAGTACTGGAATAAAAATTTCACTATCATACAACATGCTGCTATCATCAGGTTTTAAACTGATCAGTTTATCTGAAGATATAACTTATCACAAGCGTATAGTAAAATAATGAATGCAAAAGACGTTTAAGCTTACTCATCAACAAAAAGCACGGAGTATCCCCAGAACCTGACATCAGCTAGTTCAGAGAGAAACTGTAGCAAACAAAAATATATTTCAAGTTTGTCCCAGAGAGAAAATCAGTAAGAGAAAAGCATATTTTAAAAGTTCATAAGAAACTGTAACAAACAAAAATATATTTCAAGTTTGTCCCAGAGAGAAAATCAGTAAGAGAAAAGCATATTTTAAAAGTTCATAAGAAACTGTAACAAACAAAAATATATTTCAAGTTTGTCCCAGAGAGAAAATCAGTAAGAGAAAAGCATATTTTAAAAGTTCATAAGAAACTGTAACAAACAAAAATATATTTCAAGTTTGTCCCAGAGAGAAAAATCAGTAAGAGAAAAGCACATTTTAAAAGTTCATAAGGTGGTCACTAATAATAGTACAATTCAATAATTCAACAATAACTAAATACACTTTTTAATGCTTTAATGATAAATTCAATGGCTGATTAGAAAAAGCTACCTGGGGATCTGATGTTGGTAAATCAAGGTTATCCACAATCACAAGATCATTCTGTCAATATAAAAATAAAATTAAAAAAATAAAAATAATTTCTCAATTATTTTTATATTCTTTTAAAAATTAAGCAGCTGAATTTTTAGAGGGTTACTTGTTATTAAGAAATGAATCACACTGCAATGATTTTATGAACGTATTATATATTTGTTATTATGTGTTTCAAAGACAGTTTTTAAATATAATGATTATTTAGGTTCAAAAAAGCATAACTGAAAACCTTGGAGGGAGGGGACAACTGTATTATGGCATTTACAAAGAAAAAGATAATGAAAACTCTGACACTTACTTGAGCATATTTACATGAAAGAGCCACTCTCAAACCCATGCCCCTGACAGCACGAGGCAGCATGTAGAAATAGTTTGTGGGACCTCTTGGACCATGAGCTTTTGCACCTGATGAAAATAACAGAAAAAAGCCAACAGTTTATTATTATAATACTGTAAACATATTAGCCGTTATGACATAACTATATAAAAAAGTACATAATTTGTTTAAGCTTCTGAGTCATCAAGAAAGTCATATGATTGATTGCCATATAAAAAAACACTAGTACAAAAAAAAGTTTCACTTAATGATAATGAATAATTGGAATTAAAACAAAAAAAAGCACTCGAGAAAAAAAAAGTCATTTAAAATATGTAATTAATCACATGTAGGGCATATCCGTTCCAACGTCACACATTCATAAACAATGTTTCTACTTTAATACTCAATTTATGTAGTAGAAAACTTTGGCACAATGCCGTCACACATAAATAATGTTTCTACTTTAATACTCAATTTATGTAGTAGAAAAACTTTGGCACAATGCCATCACACATAAACAATTTTTCTACTTTTATACTCAATTTATGTAGTAGAAAACTTTGGCACAATGCCGTCACACATAAACAATGTTTCTACTTTTATACTCAATTTATGTAGTAGAAAACTTTGGCACAATGCCGTCACACATAAACAATGTTTCTACTTTTATACTCAATTTATGTAGTAGAAAAACTTTGGCACAATGCTGATAACTAGCACCAGATCACTCACCCTGGATCCACAGAGGCGATCTACAACTTCCATGCCGAGCTTTGCCGAGACCTTTTTGTGGCCAAGGTTTTCTACCACCACCTTTCATTTCAGCACGACTGGGTTCAAAGCTATAGTCCTAGAAGGATTTAAGACATTGATTTAAGACATTGATTTAAGATTAAAAAAAATATTTTTTTAATAAAAAAATTATTTATTTATTCTATACAAGTTTTGTCAATTTATTACTTGACAAAGCAAGAAATAATGATAAGGATACAATACATCCTTTTAATGGCAACCAGTGTTTTCTTAAAAACTGTTAAAGCAAAAAATTCTCACTTACAATATGTCGGTAGAACTTTTGCCAGTGAATATTTTTATGAAGAATGTCCAGCCTGCAAAAAGGAGATTTAATTTTGTTTGAGTAAACTTGCAACAAAAGCTTTAATTTACTGCTATAAGTTTAAGGCTCTTTAAAAGTAAACCATAGATATTGTGCAAAAATATTCTGAGACAAGACAATTAGCTGTATTCACACCTGGGATAAGTTGCAAACACATCTGGATGAAGATCTAGCATGCCAAGCTTTTCTCCCTCAAGATTTTTCATAGATTCCAGCCAAGCTAGTCGTGGAAATGTGTGTGTTACTGGGAACTGCAAAGTTCTTTTTGTCATAATAGGAGTGTCTACAGGTGCTGATAAATTTTCTGTCAATCAAACAATATATTACAGTAGAAAGTGAACCAAAAGGACAAATGCTAAAAAAATAATTTTCATCTATTACTATGTACTGAACCTGTTTGCTATGATGTAAAACAGAAAAATAATTTGCAATGATGTAAAACAGAAAAATAATCTCTTTTACCTGTGACATTTTTTCCTTCTTCAGAATGTGTGGCCTCAAAAGAGTCAACATTTTGAAAGCGACAAACACAAGTTGAAAAGAGAGCCTGTTGGAAAATATAGCTTTTTAATGTTTTAAAGAAAGAGCAAAGATAAGATTAATGTTCATTAACCTTTATTTTGAAGGTAAAGGTTTAGGAAAATGGATGGTAATCAGTGGCTTGAATTTTATACAAAGCAATATTTTAATATTCTCTAAATCAGCTTTGTGAGCCAGTAATTGTATGAAACTGTTAATTTGGGTTATACAAGCAAATGTTACTACTGGTAAAATTAATAAGACTTTACTAGTACTAGACTCACTATTTGTTAGACCTCAGTCAGAAATATGGGAATGAGACTCAAGCTTAAGACTCCCTCACTTTATAAATGTATTATTTTTTAGCAATGTTTAGGCCAAATTAAAATTGATAATGCCAAGCCTAAATATATTCTAATTTAAACTGACAAACTGCACCTGTGTTAAGGGATTAGCCACTAAACTTTTATAAATAAACTTTTCTGTGACTGTAATATTTACAGCTTTTAAAGTATTTTCTCTAAGCCTATGGGGTCGACATGGTATCAGGCTTTGGCCTTTTAACATAATTTAATCTGTACCTAATTCTTCAAAACTAAAAGCATAATATGATTTTACATGCTTATGAACGATAGTCTAGTTTAAAGTAAACAGATCTATAAAAAATAGTAAATTTGTAGCATAATCACTAATCATGGAAGAAAAATAAAAGAGAATTAAAAAAAAAACAACAGAACAGCATTTAGACCACATAGGGGTAATCCCCTAGCACAACATCGCTTATTATTCTGGAATGGTATAGCAGTAAAAAAAACAGTAAAACAATGGCATAGCCATTCTGGAATCCACAGGAAATACTGTTAGCCATACTTTATTAGGCGCCATCTTTTATTTTTAATACAGAATATTCAAATAATTAGATACATTGATTTTTTGCATGTTAAATACTGATTTACTAATTATTTTGTATTGCTAATCATTTTTAAGTGTTTCAGCTGATAATTATTGCTGCTACTAACTAAACATTGTTCCAGTCAATTTTACTATTTGTGTAATCATTTTCACTACGCCTAGATCTAGATCTCATCTAAAATGATTCCTCTGCAATTTTATTATTCCAATGTTTTTTAAAAAAAACTTTACACTAATTAGGCAAACTTAACTTTATTATTTATAATTAAATCAGCTATATTTCTGTTTCCTTGTGTTGATTAAATTTAAAATTATGTTCAAACATTAATTTAGCATATTGACTTTATAAACTTTATTATATTTCAATGGTAAAAAACCCCATGGTTTACAGTAACTAATGTTAGCCTAAAGAAACTCAACAATCATTACCAAATAATTCCTGACGCTATGCTGGGGGATTACCCCACAAAACTTATTTATATTATTATATTAAAGATTTAGTTAGATTAGCGACTAGTGTTGATGGGCCTGAATTTTTCCCAGGTTATAAATTAATAAATCTACGTAGGCCTAAGTACAAGTAGTAAAGTCAAATATAGTAGGCCTATTTTTTTAGGCAGTATTAGGCCTAACTATTACTATTAATTAGAGGCTAACTACTATGTAACTACTAGATCTAGGACTAGATCTAGGTCTAATCACACTAATGAATAATTAGGCCTAATAATGCCTAGGCCTAATATTATAATTAGGCCCTATAATAATGATTTTGGAAAACAGATAAATTAAAGTTAAAGTGATATTGTACGTTTTCATTTATTTAAAACAGCCTACTCCTTTAATCGCAAGCTGTAGCCTATTTTTAAAATAATTTCATCAAAATGCCGAATCAAACACCACACCTCAACTGGAGATCTTAGCTGTTCTGTTACAAATTAAATAGTTACATTAATATTTGGGAATTTACCTTAGTTAAAGAATTTTTCTTAAAAGCATTCTTTAAACACACATCTAAAGTAGTAATTAGAGACATCTTATAAAGATGCTAATTCTCTTCCTGAAAAAAAATAGACGAGTGTTTAAAGTTTAAATCTATGTTGCTTAAAAAAATGAATACATGACATTCACGAATGATTCTCAATTTGTTTTGTAGTAGTTTCCCTTGAAAATAGCTCTACTTCACTAGAAATATTTCGCCATTTTATCTTTTGTGACTAAAATTTTAATTAAATGGTCAAAGTAAAATATTTTGAATTAACCTTTATTCATTTAGATATATAATCTAAATTTAACATGAAAAATAATATTTTGCGTTTTTCTAGACATTAGACCTTGTAGCATCTAGTAGATCTAGGTCTAGTAAAAATCAAAAGCTTAGTACCAGACATGTTATTTAAAAATATTTCAATTTAAAAGTCGAATCTGCCTATTCGGCGCAGGATATAAATATAAATTTGGAGTCCAGTCATTTGTACTATTGTTTTTAGTTTTTGGGGTCTGGCTTTCGTTACATTAATTATTAATTAAACAAACTTGTGTGATTATTAGGTAGTTTTGTTATGTCTGGGAAAACCAAGCCAGGTAAGTTAAATATCCTTACCAATTTCGGTATAGACCCCCGACTTAGGCCAATCTCGAGATTAACCTCACCCCTGCCTTCTTTAATAAAATTTTACTCTTACTCTTCTTAGTACTTAGATTCTAGTTTTAGAGCAGTCCTTTGCCTTTTATAACTTTTCTTTTATTATTTTATTTAGATCTAGGGAGTAGATCTATATTTAGGACTAGATCTATAGGCCTATTTTCTTTTGGTAATTACATACTTGGTTATTGAATAGCCTATAGTCACTAAGTCAGTATAGATCTAATCAGATCTATTAGATAGATCTTTATAAAATTATAGCCTATTTAATACTATTTAATTTATTATTAATTTATATTATGAAGTGAAGTGACTACTTAGAAAAAGATTTATCCTCCAAGCACTAACTGGCCGGCAAAAGATGCAAAACAAAATGACCTAAATACAGTGTTTCTTCCAGACTTTTTTCTCCGGGGGGGGGGGGGGGGGGGGGAGGCACTTGAAATTTTCGAGGGGGGGGGCGGACACTGTTAAAAGTATGTATTTTCTATATAAGTTATATAAATTTCATTTCGTTCGGGGGGCGGTAGAAATTTTTAGAAATTTTTCGGGGGGGGGGGGGGGGGGGGGGGCAAAGCCCCCCCCGAAGAGATGCCTGGAAGAAACTCTGCCTAAATATCTGCCCAATAGGTTCAAATTAAATACTATTAAGTATTAATAGCTGTGCAATGAACTCAATTTATTCTTTTATAGCTGCACACTGGGATAAATTAGCCTACTCTTTTAGCTTTATTTTTCTGACAAAACTAAACTATCTGTACCTCCTGGTCGAACAGTTGTGCTACGGGCGGGTCATTAGGGGTTGAGGGTTTATAGCAAAGAGTTCTAGTCTATAAGTTAAGTAGTATAAATTGTTTTTTAAAAACCTATTTTAATAGCCTTTTTAAATCTAGTTGGCTATTTAAGTTTTAAGTATTAATCATGTTAATCCCTGCTCCATCAAGACAACACATAGGCTTAAACAGCAAACAAAAAAACCCCAGGTAATTGTAGAGCTATGCGCAAGCACATCTTTTTCTGGCTAGAATGGTCTTTCATATTATTGAACCCACTGTTATTATTTTGTAGAAACTACTACTAGAGAAAGAAAAAAGCCAACCATTATATTATCATATATATATATATATATATATATATATATATATATATATATATATATATATATATATATATATATATATATATATATATATATTTATAATATCATCAACCAACTCCTAATAAATTATAATGCATTGCTATTCAGCTGAAGTCACATCAGCTAGGATTAGGTTAGATGCTACTCTCCAACACTTGGTAGATAGGAAGGAAGACAGGTATGATGTGTAGCGTAGTGTGTAGACTTTAGTCAGATCTAGAATCCTCTAGATCTAGGCTACATGACTATTTGTGTGTGTATTTACTACTTTGTCTGGACTATCTGTTCTGAAATCATAAAAAAAAATTGCAATAAAAATTATTATAATTATAATATTATTCCATTTGCATAAATTTAAAACATTAGGCTCCTATGCCTAAACATTAATTAGGCACATTGGTGGAATATTAATTTCAATCTTTTAAAATTTCAAACTGTAACCTTTTTCTCACCATGTTGATCTAATTTCCAATTTCTTTTCATTAATTTTAGTCATGAAGCCATCAGTGATGGAGAAAGCAGTGTTCCCCTTGCAGAACCTGTTAGGTACTGTTCTAGATTTTATACATCTTTCCTTTTAGAGTCAGACAGAAGAATTTTTATCTAAACATTCAACCAAACTATAATGATTTATATTGCAGCTTAATTGTTAACTGTAGCACCTCATTATGATACAACTTTTATGTAGATTGCTAAATGACTATCAACCACCTAGTATCTTATTAATATTGATCAAACATCATCCTTGTTCTAAACCTTGGTGAAGGCCTTAAATCAATTGTATTCATCAACAGTAAACAAGTAACATCACCTAAAAAATCGACATCAAAACAAGGCAGAAAAAGGAAAAGACGAGAAGATTCTGAAGAATATGATACAACAGACGAGCAGCGTAATAATTAAGATAGAATGTCATTACTACCTGAACTGTTTTATTTCCATACATCATTTTTCATATATTGGCTAATTAGTTTCCACATACCAATTTTCTCATGCTTCATTTTAAATAATCTTATTTATTTTCGTATCTTATCTGCTTCACTTTTACTCATCAATTTAATGACCTTTACAAGAAAACTGCTTTTAAAATGTTGTAAAGGCTTTAAATTTGCTTGCATCAGAGACGGTGATCATGAAGTTATTTGATCGAAGTGTTGACCTAGCACAGTTCCCAGAAGACACCCCCCTGTTTCCTGTGTGTAGGGCATGGATACAAAATAGACCACACGACAAAAGCTTGGGGACTTTACAGGAAAGACCTCTGTCTCCTAAAATTGAAGAGGATGTATGTTGATTTTTTCAAAATTTACTGTGTAGAACCGTTTTATTTATTTCTGCTTTGATCTATACATTTGCAACATATTTTGTATTAGTATTATTATTTTACCTAGGAAAAATATAATCTTTTTCCTAAACTCTGAAGCTGCATGTATTTAGCGCTGTTAAAATTAAAACAAACTCTTTGACATCACATTTTCAAGCATTTCATTAATGCATTCAGTTATAAAAATGAGAATTATCTTTATTCTTATTTATGGTTTACTACAAATTTTGTCATACCAAATAATTTCGTGTTTTAAATTGTAGCCAGATGACGGGTGCATATACAGAATGCCCCCTCCTCTTAAATCTGAAGAAGGCTGCTTGTATGATTTGAGGATCCCTGAACCACTACCACAATCAGAAGAAAGGCTAAATCTATCTGGAGTAAGTTATTAATTAAAGACATTAATTCAAACTGGTAGTTAAAACTAGTTTTACAGCACAATGCGGATTTTTAAGTTTAAGATTAACATGTTGAATACATTTTGAGCAATACAGCAGTGCTTCTTTGTGTATAGCTAGCTACATAAGATGTAGCTTACTCTTGATACTAATCACAATGTGACAATTGCATTCTGACATTGTGATACATATTTTTTTTTGTCTAGCAGGACCCAAAAAATGTGCCAGCGCCTGACCACTTGCTATTGGAGCACTTGAACAGATGGAAGAATGTCAGAGAAAGGTGGGCTTTTGATTTAGTACATAGCAGATTTAGTTTGATAGCCTGACTTAAACAGATGAAAGAATGTCAGAGAAAGGTGGGCTTTTGATTTAGTACATAGCAGATTTAGTTTGATAGCCTGACTTAAACAGATGAAAGAATGTCAGAGAAAGGTGGGCTTTTGATTTAGTACATAGCAGATTTAGTTTGACAGCTTGACTTGAACAGATGGAAGAATGTCAGAGAAAGGTGGGCTTTTGATTTAGTACATAGCAGATTTAGTTTGATAGCTTGACTTGAACAGATGGAAGAATGTCAGAGAAAGGTGGGTTTTTGATTTAGTACATAGCAGATTTAGTTTGATAGCTTGACTTGAACAGATGGAAGAATGTCAGAGAAAGGTGGGCTTTTGATTTAGTACATAGCAGATTTAGTTTGATAGCTTGACTTGAACAGATGGAAGAATGTCAGAGAAAGGTGGGCTTTTGATTTAGTACATAGCAGATTTAGTTTGATAGCTTGACTTGAACAGATGGAAGAATGTCAGAGAAAGGTGGGCTTTTGATTTAGTACATAGCAGATTTAGTTTGATAGCTTTTGTGTTTGAAACACAATATTAGTAGGAATTCGACACCCTGCTTAATATACTGGCTTGTGTTTTGTAGGTTTGAGGTGGTAGTCAATACCATTAGAGAACACATCCAATAAAATGATATAGGAAAAACTGATTTGTTATTGCCCTTTTGAGATTTGTAATGATACATGATTGATTTATCAATAGTTATGTATGCAAATTAAATAGTGCCCTTTGATCATATGTTCTACTTAATTTCTGAGTTCTTGTTTTATACATTTAAATCTGAGTTTTATAACAGTTCATACATTTGCATCTTGTTGTATTTTACTGTGAAGTATAAGTGAGGACTTAATGCTGTGAGTGATCTCCCATTTCAGATGGCGTGTTGCCAGTGTAATGAATGAGATGCAGTACATCAGCAGTATGCAGCTACTCAAAGAAATGTTTGATAGAAATGTGGATAATACTTTAGGCTGAACCCTTGATCTGGACACTGTTTGAAATGCTTTTGCTCATACAAGGACGATGTTTGGCTGTTGGATAATTCTTCACTTTACACATAATTCAAGTCTTTGCCATCAGATTGATCTTAGGAAAGATGAAGTAGAGTTTATACTCCTATGTCAACATTTTTAGAAGGGATTGTTAATGTTAGGCCAACAGTAATATTTGAGTGCTTCTTAATTAATTATTGTTGGACCTGTCTAGCTTATCAAATTAGGTATGATGTAGAAAATGTTCTTGAATATAACACTTTAAAAACAATTAATAACCAGATGATTTAAATGTTTAGTGGGAATTCTTGTATAACAGTGTAATTAGATTAAGTGTTTGAATATTCCACCATGGTAAAGTCAGAGAGCTGTCAGTTAACTTGAACTTTTATCAAACCACACCATGGAGATTGCAGCAGTGAGAGTTGCATTGGTTATCTTCATGATTCCAAAACTAGAATAAAGCAAGAAAAATTATTATCTGTGCATGGCTACTATAGTTTATTTCCTTATTGCCAATGTGTTTTCATTTTTTTTTTCAAATACTTAACTTATTACCTGCCTTGTAAAACATTAACTTATGCAATATGTAAATGAGATGTAATTAAAATTTGTTCAGAATACAAATTTGTTTTTGTTTTTTCAAGTACCATTCGTGGTGCTGATCTGTAGACTTTAATGCAGCCACTGGCTCATGAGTTGTGTACACATAATTTATATCTTTGGTTTAAAATTTACTGACATGTTGTGTATTACTGTACCTTTTTAATACAGTTTTTCTTATTTGGTACTTCGGAATTGTTAAACTTGTGATGAATTAACATCTTTCAGAAAACCAGTCTGAAATGAAAGCAAAAGTACCCCTGAACTATCAAGAGCTCCTTTATTATCTTACATATTATGAAACCAGGTATGTTAATGTTAAAACCCCTTGTGTAGCTTGAGAATGTCAATCAAGAACACATTGAATCTGTTTCAGCTATATTTGCTAAGATACTAACAGGAAAGAGAACTCTTTCATTCACTACTAGCATAAACTGGATTGTCTCCCTTAGATATCTTCCATAGTCTGATCTATTTATTTCTCACGTACTGCTAGAATTTAAAAATGTCTATAGATCTTGTGATTTATTTGCAATTACCAATTTCATGAATTTGTGACTTAAATTTAATTAAAATAAAACAATTATAATTATAGGCTTTAATTAAATGCACTGAAAGTAGAGAAATAAAGACAGTCTACTAATACACACACACGCATACTCGTAAACATGCTAGTAAAACCTGTTTTACTCTATGGAGGTGAGACATAGAGAATAACTGCTTTAAATAAGAAAAAAATACAATCATTTATAAACACATGCCTCAGAAAAATCCTGCGAATTCGCTGGCCTAAAACCATCAGAAATGAGGTACTATGGCAACGGACAAATCAACTGCCAGCTGAAGGAGAGATACGGTTAATGTAACACAGGTGGCATTATAATGTTTACACCTTCAAACAAGTTCAGAATCTTTTATATAACTTTTTTTCATGGACAACGTAAGTGGGAATTTTTTTTTTTGTGAGAAAAGGAAGATAACTCAAGCGCCTGATATGATTAACGAGAGTTGGGATCAAATACAGTTAAGTTACTGTCTCATGTACCGTGTACTACAGGGAGATAACAGCTTGTGAAAAAAATTCTCCACGCAGAAGGACCATGTCTATATCATGGGCAGCATGACATTCCTTCACCAAAGAACTACGTAAATGTATTACCCCGACGGTCGATTACCAAATATAGGTAATATGAATAGGGATACTTTTAAGAATAGGGATAGCGATAGAATAAGGAGCTGAATGCTGATAAATTTATAGTGTATAATTTGGATTTTGATGGAGTGGATTCTTAAACATTTAGAAACCACCTACACCTAATGAAAAAAATAAAAATAGGACTGAATTCCTTAGCCTGGATAGCAACATTTCCATTTGGGCAACTAATTTCAAGCTTTAGTTTTTATCATAAACCAACTCTCTTTTTTTGTACAAATGTTCTGCTCACATAAACTATAGGGTGGACGTCTCTTTCGCCAAATTTACGGAGCGGCTAATCCGGCTTGAAGCAGACGCGAACAGAGGCCAGAACCTAGTCTTAATTACCCACAATCCACTATCGTCGTGCAGAAGATACCCCCCCCCCTTCTCCCGTCTCCAACTCTGTGAATAAAGACTTACATTCCAGATTAGCTGCAAACGGATTATCCTGATATACAATGAGACTTAACTAAAGACTTGTGTGAAAGAGTTGTTATGGTCTACCTGTAGTAGAAAAAGTAGAAACAAAATTTATATAGGAAATATATTCTAACAAGTGTTCGCCTCCTACCGAATTTGTAATTGTCCCCCCCCCCCCCGGAGAACAATATCTGAAAGAAACCGTGTACAGGAGAAAGCAAGTAAAATATATGACCCTCGATTATAAAATAGATAAGTCGCTAAGTAACATAAGACCGAATAGTAACAGACATTCATCAGCTGACAAGAGAAAGTAGACAAGTGCAGACAGAATCAGTCTTCGAGTGGAAGCGTAAAGGTCATGTCACTCCCTTCTGTGACCTTTTAATATAAATCTTTAGATCGACAAGACATAAACACTTAATAGCATATCTCTGCGCATGTCTCTGCGCATGCTCACCACACTTCGACATGCATGCCTTACAGTGAGCGCGTCAAGACAGTGCCACTTAGTGGAAAAAACAATCCTTTGCAGTTGGTTACAAGACCTTCTGCTCATAAGGTCACACGGTTGTACAAAAAGATCTCAGGTCTAGAGAAGATCATAGGTCTACACAAAAAGATCTCAGGTCTAGAGAAGATTACAAGGCTGGCTATTCAAAAAAGATCTCAGGTCTAGAGAAGATCACACGGTTATACAAAATATATCAGGTCTACAAAAGATCACAATTCATTACCGAGTGATACAGAAAGATCCCAGCGGTTTGAACTACCTCCTTACCGGCACGGCCACAGGAGAGGTTGACTTGATAAATAATCACCACGTCACATACACTGCAGGTGGTACTCATTCAACACGTGCATTAGCCAGGCGATCTTTTGTGTGGAGTCTTATGTAACAATCTAACTAAAACATGAGCACAAAGAAATAAACAAAAAATAAACACACAGGTGATAAAAGAGAAGAGATAGACATTCATTAAATGTTGCTGTTAGGTTAACGTTCAATGACGCTTGACTTAAGTGCTTCAGTCAATTTCATTAATACACTTTTTAAAAACCCAGACCTTCATTAGTATATTTAACGATGGTCGTTTGACCTTATCTTTTTACATTTGTGCCTCCTATGTCACTGTCAGAAACATATATTTTAGAAGTGTTTCACCCTACACTCTGTACATACCCAGTAGACAGATGTTTCATAATTGTATTCAATTGTATTGAAAAATATAAAGTTCGAGCAGTGTTAAACCTAGAATAGGTTAAGTTGGACCAGTGTTAAACACTAAAAAAGTAAAGTTGGACCAGTGTTAAACACTAAAAAAGTAAAGTTGGAGCAGTGTTAAACCTGGAACAGGTAAAGTTTTACCAGTGTTAAACCTAAAACGGGTAAAGTTAGACCAGTGTTAAACCTGGAACAGGTAAAGTTGGAGCAGTGTTAAACCTGGAACAGGTAAAGTTGGACCAGTGTTAAACCTGGAACAGGTAAAGTTGGACCAGTGTTAAACCTGGAACAGGTAAAGTTGGACCGGTGTTAAACCTGGAACAGGTAAAGTTGGACCGGTGTTAAACCTGGAACAGGTAAAGTTGGACCAGTGTTAAACCTGGAACAGGTAAAGTTGAGCAATGTTAAACCTGGGAAAGGTAAAGTTGGAGCTGTGTTAAACCTGGAACAGGTAAAGTTGGACCAGTGTTAACGAGACCAGGACAAAAATGCCGCGCGACGATTAGCGAAGGCCGCGCAGACGAGCGGCCGTCGAGTAGTTTCCCGCGCTAGAGAGCGAGCGATTGCTAATGAAGGCGCAAGCAACAGTTCGTTAGCCCAACCCGTAGCCACGTGATACAGAGCTGCTAGCTAACGATGAGTTGCTGTACCAATATTTTACCATGTTTGTTAGTGTTGTTTTAAATGTACGGATGATGGGATATTTTGTGAGAGCCAATTCAATCTAAAATATATTACAAAACAATAATTGAACGTAAAAGGGCTAACATAAATTCTTAATTTTGAAGAGACTCATTAAGTTTAACAGCTAATTATGTATTGGAGGATAATGACAATTTTCAAATACAATTCATGGGGTTTTTGAAACCTCATGGAGTTTTCTGAATGTGTGGATTAATTGATAGAGAAAGTATACTTTGATCAAGGCAAGGTAGGTGTTATTTCTATCTTCTGTCTCTTAGGTATGTTCTCTTTTATTCGTCGCGATTACTATATGCTGTGTTTCTTATTACACACATAAACACATACGCATAGACTCATACGCACAGACGCACTAACGCACACACACAAACACACACATAAATACATAATATATTTTACTATATAATCGATTAAAGCTAAATAAAAAAAATTTCAAATAAAATTGCTATAATTAATGTGGTTAAAAAGTGTTATATTGTATCCTGCGTACTCGAAGTTGAACCAATTCGCACATATAGCTCACGCAGCACATATTTTTGACAACAGCAATGTTGGACGCGTGAGTTTTTTTTACCTGATGCACGTGCGAGAGAGGGAGTGATCAATTTCAGAGCGGTGGACTGTTTTTGATGCGCATCGTTTGGAGTGACAGGTTTCATTGAGTTGTTTTGGGATTCGTTCACGTAGAAGCAATGCATTAAAAAAAGCTACAATATTGTTTAGGAATTACTGTCAAAGCAATGTTGTTTAAGTCGAGATTTTATAAAGTTGCAAAATTGATATTGTGCAAACCTCACTGATTACAATTACGAGAACGTATACATGCTAGAATTAGCATTGTTAACTATAGTTTTTTTGTTGAATTTCATAAAAAAACATCCTATCTATGTGGAGCATGAAGTGGTAATGAGTTTTAACAATGATTTGTTTTGGCTTTACTGATAGTTAACTCCCTTTCAAAACAATATTAAGTGTGTGTGGAAGAATTGAGTGGGGTGGGGGTTGTTTCTTTTTAAGCTGAATGAGCCTTACCGGTAAGTCAGGGGTTAAAAAAAAAGATTCCTTCTCGTGTGATCAGTAAACGGCTACTTTGTCGACAGTCTTGGCGGTTCAGGGTCGTACCTGATGTGGACGTTGTCGACTTGACTCACACCTGTCTACCACACAGCTGGAATATACGTGCAACATGGAATATAGATGGCCGTCAGTTCAGCTACTACTGCTAGTGTAACGGTCTTGTCTAAATATATAAGTTGTGATAGATGATAGTTCTCTTTCTATCTCTCTCTTTTCTCCCTCTCTCTCTCTTAATATATATATACATGAATATATATACATATATATATATATATATATATATATATATATATATATATATATATATATATATATATATATATATATATATATATATATATATATATACATGTATGTATATGTATAAATCGCTGCCTAGAATGAAAT